GGCCTCTGGACCCACTTAGATGTCCTTTTTTTTAGGCTGCCCTCTCATCAGGGATAGGGAGTCCTCTGATGAGGCCGGGCTCTCTGCTTGGCTCTCGGTCTGTCCCTGCCTTTCCCTGCATGTAATTCTACCTCTATCCTCCACCCCTTCCCCAAAACCTGCTCCTTTTGCATGGAAACCACAGGTGGGCTCACTTGGGCATTGGAACCACAGAGCATTGTGGGAGTAAAAAGTATAGGTTGGAGGACCAAGTGGCCCCTATTTAAGGTTGTGACTGTCCTTTGAACATGCTTCTGTATCCATTACTATTAAGCTCAGCACTTCATATTTTCTTGACATCAGTATATCCATTCAAAAGTAATTCCTATATCATCATCTTAACTGGCTAGGCCTGGATTAGGTTTTAATCTTCTGTTTCTACTTCTGAGCAGAAATAACTGCTCTGCTTCATGCCCATGGGGACCATGTGGAAGAAATGCACTTCTCCTCTTCCCTCTTCCCTCTGAGCCCACCATGATCACCTTGGCGAACCACCCCTGCCCTGGCCTCATTAGCACCAGGCAAAGGTGGGAGGTGAATCTCAGCCTGGTGGACAATAGGCCAGCTTATGTGATTCTGCAGCTCAACACGAGGCCACCTCCTCATTCCCTGACCCGCTTCCTGTGACAGACTCCCACTTCCTATGGTCCTTATGTTAAGGGACAGACAGATGAGGATGACGGGAACATGAAGTCAGGAGAATAATTCTATCCAATGGGCCCACTGTGCTGACCCCCACATGCTTTCTTTTCCAGGAAGCAATTTACCTGCAGCCCTGTCTGGCCTAAGTGGACAGGATATGTCACATTCCTCAGCACACTACCTGTTCACTGCAGGAGAAATGCAGGCCCAAAGGAATGTTGATAAGAGGAACCCAAGTTACCCTGAAGGGGGAGACTTGTGACCAGACCTGAAACTCTGAAAGATAAGGATATTTCCTCCTAACCATAAAATCTATAAGCACGTATGGTTAAGAATCCAATTAGAACTGGTCAGCGCGGGCTGAGGTGACCTAGATTTGCCACAACAGTTGAGACTTGAAAGTCTGATGTCACCTTGCTGTCAGTCAAGTCAAGAGGTAGATCTGGGCAGAACTCTCCAAAAACTTCTCTGGGATCCCCCATAAAACTGGAGTGTAGGAGAGGCATATTGTCCCTCTTCTCTCTGAGAGGACTCATTCTCCCTTGAGAGTGTCCCCTTTCCCTTTTCCTATCCCTTTAGTATTCTCATTCCTCTTACTCTGAGTGACATGTCTGAAATCTTTCTGACTTGGTTGCAAGAACCGGAGTTTGAAGAGGCGGGTCTTCACGCTGCCTCATTTTCTCCAAAAGCCCCAGCTCCGTAACACCTAGGCTGGCTCTACCACATAGAGATACAATGGAATGGTCCCTGGCTCTGAGGCCAAGAGTAGGGGAGGGAATGAGACCAGTGATCAATAAGAACAGTTAGCATTGGAAGGAATTGATCTTCAGTGAGGAATTAATGGAGCAAAACCTGCAGGGCCTGCTCAGCTGTGGCTAAGCAGAGACTTCAGTGACTCCATTGTGGCCTGAGGTGAGGGGCAGCCAGGCATGGAGAGAAGACAGAGGAGGCCTAAAAAGAAAAAAACAGGAAGCAGGAAGAGCCAGGAGACAGAACAGGGAAGGCCACGGGCTCTTGACCCAGGTTTAGTTCCACAGAGGGTACCTGGTTGACCAGCTTGGTAAGTGGAGCCCCAGGGGTTAGAAATAGCCAAAGGGGCAGTCCCGGCCCTTGTTCCAACCCAAAGAAGCCAGTGCTCTTTCCCCTCTAGAAAACCAACAGCTAATGAGGTTTTTCTGTTTATTTTTGTAAGTGGTACTATAAATTGAACCCAGGGGCACTCTACCACTGAGCTACATCTCCAGCCCTTTTTATTTTATTTTTTAAAATATTAGGACCTTTATTTATTTATATGCGGTGCTGAGAATCAAACCCAGTGCCTCACACATGCTAGGCAAGTGCTCTACCCCAGCCCCTCCAGCCCCTTTTTAAAGACAGGGTCTCGCTAAGTTGTCCAGGCTGGTCTCAAATTTGCAATCCTCCTGCCTCAGTCTCCTAAATTGCTGGAATTACAGGCATGTACCACAGTACCCCACTGTGTTTTTCTTAAAATATTTATTTTTTGGTTGTAGTTGGACACAATGCCTTTATTTCACTTATTTACTTTTATGTGGTGCTGAGGATGAACCCCAGGGTCCTGCACGTACCAGGCAAGCGCTCTACCGCTGAGCCACAACCCCAGCTCCCCACCTACTGTGTTTTTAAATAAATTTTATTTTTACAATTTTATATTTACAAAAAAATTGTGGGGGCTGGGGATGTGGCTCAAGCGGTAGCGCGCTCGCCTGGCATGCATGCGGCCCGTGTTCGATCCTCAGCACCACATACCAACAAAGATGTTGTGTCCGCCGAGAACTAAAAAATAAATATTAAAAATTCTCTTAAAAAAAAATTGTGAAGATAATCCAGCATTTCCATAGTCCCCTCACCCCTTTCCCCTATCATTGACATCTCAAATTAGTATGATTTCTTTGCTATATTTGATGAGCCAGGGTGTCCTGCCTCAGCACCCTAAGGGGAGGCTGGGTGGAGAGGACACTGCAGGTCCAGTGGAAGCAGGAGAAAAGCTCCAAGGCTCCAGGGAGTTGTGGGGTGCAGGTGCCATCAGAGGCTGGGGAGGCTGGGGAGGCTGGGGAGGCTGGCAGGAAGCAGGGACCAGTTCCCAGCAATCCTGCAGACCAGATCCCCTTTCCTGCCACAGCGGCTCTCTCCAGGTCACAGACCTGGACCTCGGGAGCTCCCCCTCTGTATCCACCCCATGTGCCACTCTCGCCCCAGCTGGCCTCCTCCCCTATTCTTGCCAGGCCTCTGCAGCTGCTAGGAGGCAGCCCTGGTCCATCATCAGTCCTGCCTGCCCTTTCCAGGCTCTCTTGCATTTCCTGGTGCAGGTTGCCCCCTGTCAGCAGCCTGGTGGACCTGCAGCTTGGAATGCAATCTCCCAGGAACTAGAATTGGGTTCCCAGGGGGAGAGTCCACTCCTGGGTACCCTCAGCACCGGAACAGGATTTCTCTTTGTTCCTGTCCAGCTTCCCCTTAGCCATGGCTTCCTGGCCCCCCCTCATTGATTATCTGCAGGCCTCTTTACATCTCCCTCTGCAGACAGCTGCCTGCCGCTTCCTAGGGTAAATTCCCTGGAGTGAATATCCACAAAGATTTCTGGCATCTCACAAACCTATGTGTGTCCTTGTTGTCCCCTAGGTCTATCTGAGGATGAAATAGCTGTCAAGGACCTGAGGAGCATGCCCTGGCATGGCCATCCTTCTTTGTGCTCCTGTGGTACCCTTCCCAATGTCCTCGCTCTTTCCTCCCAATGCTACAAGAACAGATGTTATTATTCTGTAGGGGAGGCAGGAGAGAGAGGCTCAGAGGTTAAACACCTTGACCCAAGTCCTGTGGATGGTCAGTTCACCCTGTTATACACTTTCACGATCCTTTATACCATGCCTCCAAGGCCTTAGAACATTTGCAATTTTCTGTTTTCTTTGTGTGATTATTGAGATTCTGTTCCTCCATCCAGACTGTAAATTCTGTAAGAACAGGGACTTAGGACTGCTTTGACCCCACTGTGACCCCAGTGCCCTACTCTACTGCCTAATATATATTAATTGCTCGATAAATTGTATTAAATTATTGAGTAATTGCATAAGTTATAGAAAGAATGTTCATTCATTCAAGAGTAGCTTGAGTAGCAGGCCCTTTGATGGGTCCTAGGGTTAAAAGACAAATAAGGTAGAGTCCCCTCCCTTGAAGAAGTCAGTCTTGTGGGGAATATAACATGGAAAGTTCCTGATGGAGCAATGTCCCAAATACCATGAGAGAACAGAGGCCATAAACCCTTCTGGCAGGGTGAGGTTGCTTTGGGGAAAAAGAGCTGAATGAGAAGTGGCAGTTTGTTTCTGGAGGGTTGGGGTGGGCAGGTCTGGTAAGGGCATTCCCAGGCCACGATGCTCGGGAAGACCTGGACACAGCGCAAGGCAGGCAGGACTTGAAGTCTTGTCCCTTCACCACCCAGCTGCCAGAGTTCCCACAGGTGCCCCCTTAGGCTCCGAGGTGGGGAGTACCACACGTGGGTCCCATTTGGGGTACAAGGACTGCCCACCTCCTGTCATTCTCTTTTGTTGGTGGGTTGCCAGAAACCTCTTCTGTAAAGAAGTTCCACATCTGAGCCAATTTGAAACAATCTTATGAGATTTTTTTTTTTTTGAGCCCAAAGCTCAAATACAGCCTCTCCAGTCTGCTCAGAGCTCTCTCTCTCCTCTTGTAATTCCATCCAACACACCATCAAGTTGGCAGGTCACAGCTGTCTGCAGGCAATTTCTTGCTGGCCCTTCCTGTGTGGGTTTTTCTTTCACTCTCCTTCTCTTTGACAGGGATTTGGCATAATCTGTCTGACTTTCAGTTCCAGATCCACTTACCTTTTTTGTTTGCTGTTATTTAGGTGGAAGGCAAGATCTGAGAGTGCACAGGTATATGATAAAAAGAAAGAAGTCTGCATTCTTGGGGGCCCAGGTGGACTGTGGGCTTCACTAGTGGTGCAAAGGAAATAGGGTTGATTCCAGGTAAGTAGCAGAGAAAAAGGTTAAATGGAATCTACTTTGTGGGGAGTCGCTGATAGGTCATACCTTAGGGGCTCATGACTGGGATATTTAAGTTGGGCCTGCCTGGAGGAGGGTTCCATATCACAGTGATAAATGTCATTGAAGGGTTGTATCAGCTCAACCAAGAGAAGCAGGCCACTTGCTTCTTGACATTTCAAGTAATTTTAAAAGAGGAACCTAGTTTTGACCTAAAAAAATCACTCTGTAGATTAACTTTGATGCCACCTATACACATAGGCACACACCATTCCCCACCCACGGAGGACTTCTGGGTCCCTCCCCGGCTGTTTTTACATCAATTTTATTCTTACTTGTATCTTTACAGAAAATGGCACAAAAGCACAGGTTTAGAATACCTAGAGGTTATTACAGTTCCATATTTCAAACAGCTCAATATCAAGATTTTCTTCTCACTCTATGTACATTATTTACACACCAGGTCTACAGTCTAACATTGTCAAACCAACAGAGGACAAAGACAAAAACTGGGGTGGGGAAGGGTGTTTCCATAAATGGGATGAAGAAATCAACTTTCGATAGAGAATTTAAATTGCAACTCAGTGTCTCAGGCCTTTCTCTTGCAAGTATCCCCCCACCATGGTGGGTGGGGAAGTAGAAAAAAAATGTCATGGGGTGAGAGGGCTCATGCCTGGCCTGGGAGTATGGTCCAGTGGGCTCCACCAAGCTGTGTTCCCATTGCTCATGCAAAAGTGAAAGGGCAGAGTGGAAGGAACAGCTGCAGAGAGGCCATAGGTACTGATAGGCCTACTCCTCAGCAGAAGGGAGCCCTAGTCCCGTATTTCAACATGGCTCCTGGGTCTGTCTTATTCTAGTGGACATACTTCCCAGCATACACCTGGCATGGTATGAGGGCTTGCAGTTTTATCTGGCTTAACATTGGCTCCTGTTTTGCTTTCCTTTGAACCTTTTCCCCTTCCTTTCTTGTGACCCATCCATGATGCATATTTATAGCTCAGTGCCATTCCAGGATTAGGGATGGCCTGGGTCAAGTTGAGGCCAGATCTGTGGTTTCCTAGCTGCACTGATTTTCTCCAAGCAGGCACATGCAAACGAGTAGTTTGCTAGAAGCCCTAGGCAAAGGATGCTTTGCACAGCAAGTCAAGGTCATGGCAGTATATGGGGAAAGTTGGAATGCTTCAGAAATACAGGTACAGGAGCCAAGGACTCTGGTAGGGGACCTGAGATCCCCAATAATGCAGTGAGCCACAGTATTTATGAGTCAGGCCTCCTCCCTGCAGGGCATAGGACCTGGACCCAGTAAAGGTCTTATACATGGGCACATGTGCTGTCGGCACCTGTGATGAGGAGGAACCCATGGGGCAAGTTGGGCATGGAGAAGGCGGGTTCCTGAGGGTGGCTCAAAGGCTCAGGCTGAGACTTCCCAAGTTCAGTCTGGAAGGTGGGTAGCATTGGAGGGAGGGATGGAGGATGTAGAGGTAGTGTGCGTGGGCCTGCGGGGCAGTATATTCTCTACGCAGCAGAAACCCAGGCCCAGGTCCCCCAGAAGGAACAGGCTGAGGGAAGATTTGCTGAGGACTGGGGTGCTCAGAACATTGGAGCTGGAATGCAGATACTCAATCCATGTCACGGCTGTCTGGCAGGCTATGCGTTGGCAGCGATGGACGTTAGGCATGTGCCGAGCAGAATCCAAAGAGGTGCAGAGCTAGGAAGGGGGCCCTTCAGAGCCAGAGAACAGAGGAAAGGGTGGATTTGGACAGCAAGAGTTGCCAAGGGATTGAGAGAAAGGGGCTTGAGGGGATGGCCGGGGCAGCAAGTGGGCTTCTGAGGCAGGGATGTTGGGATGAGGAGGGTGCTGGAGAGTCAGGACTACATCAGGAGGTCTCAGCAGGGTCCAAAGCTGAGGCCAGAAATGACCTGTGCCTGGAGTCAATGGGGGTAATCGAGGGCCTGTGGGGCAGGTGAGGGTGGCAGAGAACCTCCCCGCACCACAGGGGCCAAGAGGAACACAGTCTTGGGGCTCCAGTGCCTGAGCGCCCCTTGACCTAAGCCATGTCCTCAAGTTGTGATGGACTCAGCTTCTCGGCTGGCCTGTCTTCTTCCACGGCCTCTTCCTCGTCTGCCTTCTCTGCATTCCGGGCCAGGCTGTCTGGCCCAGACACAGTCCCCAGCACTTTGGTGCTGTGCTCCTGAGCTTTGGCTCGGAGCGCTGCGATGCTGTTCTCCCTCAGTTCCTCCTGGGAGATGGCTGCCTGGGCGTCGGGGCCCCGCTCTTCCTGCTCCATCTTGTCAAGCTTGGGCAGGGCCTGGCGTTCCACCTCGGGCTTCCTCCCCGACTCAGCTGCTGCCTCCAGTGACTTTTTGTGCATCCCTAAAAAGAATTGTTGGTATTCGGGTTTAGAAAAGCGCCTGGGAAAGCCATCTTGAACTGAAAACAGCAAAGATAGAGAGAGGCCAGAATTAAGGACAAGTAGAAAGCCTTGCTTCACACACGCCAGTCACGCAAGTCCCAGGGCTGGGCCAGGGTCAGGGGACAGGAAGCGGGGTGGGTGGAGGGTTGCAGGCCAACAGCGGGGAACCAGGCCTACAGAGGGCCTCTCAACAAACCCTGGGCACCTGGCCCCCTCCACGGCCTGTTCTGTCCCTTCAGGGTACAGCTGGACTCCCCACCCCTCCATCCTGCGAATCCAGGTCTTAGAACCCCAAGATAATCTGATGCTCTTATCAGACTCAGGACTAGATGGCAAGTGGGGGAAGAGGGCAGGTGGAGAGATTTGGGAGAAAAGAATTACTTTAGGGCATGCCAGAGAAGTGGCCAAAGGGACCTAAGGGTCCCCTCAACTCCCAGGGGACTGTTTCATTTGTCATAAGCCCATCTCTGGTCAAGGGGAAGGGGACCCTGGGGTAACAGCCACACCCTCCTTACAGGATAAAAGAATCCAGTCAGGGACCAGTGCAGGATGAGAGTCCCTGGCACTCGGTAAATTGGTGCAAGGGAGAGACACTACACCCAGGCCCTGCCTGCCTAAGTCCCCAAGGTAGTCCCCAAGGTAGTCCTCCAGGGAGCCCGCTCTCCTCACCTCAGGGGCAGGGCCCCAAGGAAGGTGCGGGCTCTTACCCAGTAGCCACGGGGCACAGGAGTCCATGATGCCATCCTTGGCAGACTTGAGGATGGACTCGGGCAGGGGGATGGAGTGCCGCACCATGGCCCCGTAGAGCCCATACTCTGCCATAACACTGCTCCGTCCCCAGCACTTCTCTCGCTTCCTCCACTTGGCTCTGCGGTTCTGGAACCAGACCTGCAAGTTCAGAGGAGTGGCTCAGGGGCTGTGCTTTAAGATGGCCCTTACCCCTGCAAATTTCCTCAGCAGGGTGTCCTCGCCCCAGCTCTCCCACTCCATGTTGTCCCTGAGGTTCCTCCAGGCTTGGAGGTGTCAGAAGGAGGATATCAAGTCCTGTGAGAATATGACTTTGTTTTTTAAAAACCGCTTTTAGTCAAAGGAGTTCTAGGGAGATGGGCTAGGGATGCCTACTGGACAGTCCCTTGCAGGTGAACAACACTCAGTGTGTTCCTTGGTTTGCTGCTGACAAACCAAGACATGATAGGTCTCTTGCTAATGTCACACCTCCAGTATATAAACAGAATCTCTTTCTGATTTGCAGAAGAATAAATTCCCCTAGTCCTTGGACAAGTACTGTGTCTTGTTCAGGGCTTCCTCTCCACAGAGGCCAAGAGGCCCAGAGGCCCAGAGGTCCAGAGGAGTCCAGGAAGGCTGCAGAAATGGCAGAAGATGTTCTTAGGGGCATTTTATCCAGGTGTCAAGGAAACCCAAGGCATGGAGGGGACTCTTCCTGGGTCAGGATCCCTTCTCTGCCCTGTCCCAGCTGAACCCTGCCATGCTGCTTTTTTGCCTTGCATATTCTTGAGTCCACGGCTCTGGGCCTAATGTGAATGGAATTTGGGGGAACTGGGTGCCGTCCGTCTGTCAAGGAATAGATACAACATTCTCCAGGGTGTGAGGGGCAGAGGTGAGTCGGAACATAGGAGAGTGTGTAGGCCCACCCTGGGGAATGTTTCCCTGGCCCCTAAGCTGATTGTCAGGGTCTAAAGGAGACTGGGTTACCTTGTAGGCATGTGCTCGTTCTTGGAGGAGATTCCAGAAGCCCCGTCCAGTTTGGAGAGGGAGGATTTCTTGGCTTCCCAAAGCCCCTTTCCTGAGACTTTCCTCTGCCTAGTGCCTCAAGGCAGGGAGAGGCGCTCAGGAAACTGGTGGGCCTGGAAGGACCCCAGGCGTTTCTCTTGTCTTTGGGGCCCTGACCTCTGGGGCGGCAAGATGCTGAAGCACCCCAGGGGAATGGGGCGGGTGGGGGAAAGTGATGGGCTTCGGAAAATCCATTGGTTTTCTCGGCGGCGATTTCCATTCCCTCGCCTGGCCGCCCCCACCCCCCGCCTTCCCTCGGGCCCCTCCCCCGCCCTAGGCGGCCAAGGTATCAGCTTTTGATGAAAAATTGCTCCAGCTCTATTCAGGAGGCGGCAAAAGAAGAGTCACCCCCAGGGGCAGCCCTGGGCTGATTGAAAAATAAGTTAATTTCAGTTTGAATCGATGGGCCTCAGGCACTGAAATATCACGGGAAATTAAAGCGGCTGCTCTCCCGGGAGCCGCGGCATTGACCCGCACTAATTAATGCTGGGGAGGCCGCGCTCGCCTCGCCGCGAGCCGCTCCCCCTCCCCGGGGGACCCCAAACACTTCTCATTTAACTAATTAGACGGGGAAAATTGGGTGTTAATTTGTTTAGGATTTTTTCCCCTCTTCCCCCCAGCAGCTCTCTCCCCGGCCCCCGCCCCGCGCGGGGGCGCGGAAATGAATGCGGGGCTCGCCGGCAGATGGCTGCCCCGGTCACTCTGCAATCTTCTCCGACTTGATTGCTTGATTAGGTCGTTAGCACATTAAAAAAAAAAATTGCTTGCCGTCTGGCGCTGGCGTGATGAGTGGGACGCGCGGCAGCGCCTGGGTAATTTATCTTTTTATACGGCAAAGAATTTGATTTCAATCTGCAGATATATGGGGCGCCTTTGACACCTGTTTAACAACGCGCTGCTGACAGCTTAACCCTTTGCTGTCGGGGCCGCGGGGAGTTGGGCTGGGGGCCCCCTGCAGGGCTCCGGGTCCGCGCACTCCCGCGCTTTCCGCCGCCGCCGCCAGATGGCGCGGTGAGCGCCGGGCGCCTCGCCGGCAGTCCCGAGTCTGCGGTGGAGCTAGGCTGGCCACACCCGGCAGGGGGCGCCCAGGCAGCCCCCAAACACCCGTGGCCACTGACGCTCTGTGTCTGCTCGGCAAGACCGCTTCGTCTGCGCTCGCCTTTTAGTGGACCCAAGCGTGTGTAACCCTGTTTTGACAGCTTTTCCTTTGTAAATAACCGAGAGCATTTAAAAATGGGAGAGACACGGCCTCAAATGCCCTGGGCCTCTCCACCCCGACACCAACCAGAAAGCCATCGCCGGTCCCCCACGGAGCGGCACCTTTGCCATCACCGTTTGGCACTTGCAGTTCCTGCTCATAACTGGAGAGCTGGGAAGCACAGCTGCAAAGCCTCCTCCTGGTCTGGACCCTGACAGCTTTGGGTGTGTGTCCCCTTGCCAAGGAAAAGGTTTATGCAGTTTGAAGGCCTCTAGATGGCTATTCTCCTAGCACCAGAGAGTACAGAGCTGTGAGTCATGAAGGCAACTAAACTGGCCTTCATCTAGGCCTGGCTCCAGGCTGCGTTTCTATCTCTCCTCAAGGCTGCCTGCGTGTTCTGCAGGATGTCTGCCCTACCCAGGGCCTGCGGTTTATGTGGGGCTTCTGACCTATCTCATCTCCATATTCCATTAGCACTGGGTCGCCCTCCACAAGTACTCACTTGCTTCAAGCTGCCTTCTCCCGGAGAGGCAAAATCAAAACAGGCTAATATATATAACAACCCATATAAGTGACTTCCGGTTTCATTCACCTCTTAGAGAAAACCTCCAAGAATGGACCCCATGCTGATAGAATTCCAATCACCTAATCTGACTGCAGAGGAGTGGGAAGTCTTTATAATCAAGTTGTTTGCTGCCTGATCAGGTGACCTGTCCTGCTTGAGTAGAGTGCATTACAATGCAACAAGGCCACAACTCTTTAACTGGAACCCCTGGGGCCAGGGGAAGTTTGGGATTTTGGAATACATATGTGATGTATATACCACGAGGTACATATCACCCTGCACCAGCATCATCTTATAATCACACCCATCAGTTCTGATCCCTGCAGCAAAACATAAACATAAACTTAGTTATATAAATTTCATAAGATCTAGTCTGATTTTTGCCACCAAATGAGTTTTAATGTCAAATTTATGAAGAAACTTTTCGTGTCCAGCACTGTTTGGATTTGGGAATTCTGGAGAAGGCATTATGAAGTGTTAAAAAACAAAGGCCCTACCTACCCCAATCTACATTGCCCTGACTTGCCCACGAGCTCTAGAGGCCTCAGTGCTGGAGATCAAGCAGGACTTTTAGATGGAAACAGTGTCTTTAGGAGACTAAAACAAGGGTCCAGGCTCAGGATTCTGCTCTGGACCATTTTTTCTGGGTCTCCTAATTTGCATAGATGAATAACTGGTCTATACATCAGACTCTGCCCACAGGCAGTGTCCCAGGGGAGCAGGTGCCAGCTGGAGGCTCTAACCAGGAGTCATCCATACCCTCACTTATGGGCTCCGGGAACGCCTGGCTCTCCACGAAGACCAGATGCTACTCCAATTTACAGAGGAAACCTGGACAGCCAAAACGATTTTGTTTTAGGACAGTTGGCAGGGAAACCGGCGATGGTGCCTTGGAGGGAAGTGGACAAGGCATTAGAATTAACCCTCACTGCTCTTTGTATTTACTTTTCTCTTCTCTTCCTGGAAGCCACCTGCAGGTGTGCTGAACTTAAACGTTTACAAAACTCATTGAGGCCAACCAGTTCTGAACTTCAATTCCCAGCTCTTAAAAATTGCTGTGTGATCTTAAGTATATTACTTCACTTCTCTCACTCTCAGGCTCTTCAAACAAAAAAGAATACTGTTGGCCCTCCATATCCATGGGCCATGCATCCAGGATTCAACCAACTGTTGATTGAAGATATTTTTTTAAATTGCATCTGTACTGGATATGTACAGACTCTTACATTATAAGTCATGTAAGAATGTATGTAGGTGGGGCATTTGTTTTTTAACACTTCATAATGCCTTCTCCAGAATTCCCAAATCCAAACAGTGCTGGACACGAAAAGTTTCTTCATAAATTTGGCATCAAAACTCATTTGGTGACCCTTGTCCTTATTGCCTAAACAACATAGTAGAACGACAGTTTACATCATATTGGACATTATAAGTCATGTAAGTATGTACAGGAGGATGTACATACATTATATACAAATACTATGCCCTTTTTCTATTTATTTTGCAGTGCTAGGGATTGAACCCAGGGCCTCACACATACTAGGCAAGTGCTTATCATTGAGCTCCATTCTTACCCCTCAGCCTTTAATATTTGAATACAGCCAACCTCTGGTTTCCCTGCCAGGTATCTGGAGTGCCATACAGATGCCCCTGAAACCCTTCCTGCATTTCTAACACAATCCAGGCCCTCGGGGCTCAAATGCAGGCAGAGCCCGCCCCTGTGAACAGCCTTGATTCAGAAGCTTGGAGCCTAGGCTGGAGCTGGCTGCCACATCTGTGGCTGCCTCTGTGAACACATTCACATGTTAATCCCCCTGAGCGTCCTACTCCTCATCTGCCTGTGATATCACTGCCTGTAAGTTTGTTGGGAAAATTAAAATACCGTGTAGAATACCTGGCAGGTAAAGAGCTAGAACATGCAAGCCTGAGATAGGTGAATTCGGTGGGCAAATGTGTCATGCTGAGATTTGGCTTCTCAGCAAATGCAACCAGACCCTCCTGTCTCCCACCTGTGAGAAAGAATCCTTGCTGGCATTTAGGCCCCTTTTCTACTTGGGCTCTGGGTTCTGAGAGGCACAGAAGAGTCCACTGCGTCCTCTCTCACTTGCTTTTCTGATGGCCCACTTTCTAGAAGAGATGGCTCTTCTTTCCTGGGAGTCCCAGCCAGGGCCAGAACCTTGCCTTATATGTTGGAGGCTCTTAGTCCTGGAGAAAGGGCTCAGGGTGACACCAGAGTCACCAGGTTTGGAGTCCCAGGCAAAAGTGAGCTGGCAGACTCTTCCAGCTTGGGTTTCCAGGTACATTTCCTTTCAGAGGAGGTGCCTGTCACTGCTC